GGTGATCGACCTGGTCAAGAAGGAGCTCATGAGCATCCACGTCAACATGAACCACATGGGCCTCAATGCCATGCGCGCCTACCTCACTCGAAAGGGAGCTCAGCCCTGGGTTATCACACTAGCCGGCAAGCTGAAGTGCAGCATCTGCGAGGCAACGGCTCGTCGGGAGCCGATGCCCGTGGCAGCCGGTCGCGAGGCGGAACCCTTGGACGTGCTCCAGATGGACGGCTTCGACTGGATCCACCCCGTCACCGAGACCAGAGCTCGAGGTACGATGATGGTCGACGAGGGCTCAGCTAAGGCCGTGCCAGTGATCCACACCACCGTGCCGGACAAGGGGAACACGGGCGAGACATCGTCGGTGACGGTGTGGGATACCTTCGTGAATTGCTGGGCTCGGTACTTCGGTCGTCCTCTGCAAATAAGGACTGATCCAGCCGGAGCCTACAGAGCCAAGAAGCTCAACGAGACGGCCTCAGAACATGGGATTCACTGGGAGGTTGGACCCGCCGAGGCACACTGGAAGCACGGGCGCGTGGAGGTGACCATTAACTTGCTCAAGGTGGCAGCCACGAGGATGGCCATCATGGACCCGGAGTGCCCGATCCAAGAGCTGTTCAGCTGGGCGGCGGCCGCCCACGCGGAGATGTTCCGGATATCCGGAGCCTCACCTGATCAGGTGATTTTCGGCAGGCAGCTGCGTCCCCTCGACTCCCAGCTGACGGGCACAGTTGTGCAGCTCCAAGCTGAGGCGGAAAGAGGCACCAGCGCGGAGCTGATGATGAAGAGGCGCATGCAGGCCAGGAAAGCTTTCGCCGAGGCTCTCGCAGATCGACAAGCTCGACTGGCTGCGCTTTCCAAGACGAGGAAGTTCAGGACGTGGGAGACGGGCGAGCTCGCATTCTACTGGGTGGAGCCTGGCAGCAGGAAGGATAAGCTGAAGAAGTCCAAGGGCGAGTTCATCGGACCTGCCCTCGTGGTTAACCAGTTCTTCCGTCACGAGAAGGGCGAGGCGACCCCCCGCAACCAGGTGCTGGTGTACCACCACAATCAGTTGATCCTGACCACGCCCCAGCAGCTTCGTCCCGCGTCGGAGCACGAGAAGGCATTACATGAGATCCTTCAGAAAGCGAAGCCCATTGAGAGACAGCCCCTTACGGAGGCCATGGACATCGGTGCGAGGTACTGGGACTTAAGCCATCAGAGACCGCCCGAGGGAGTAGATCATGATCGTGCTGAGCGTCAGGTCTCAGCTGACGAGCCTGAAGGAGATCCCGAGCCAGAGAGAGCCGACGAGGATGCGGTGCCCGAAGATCCAGCAGAGGATGAGGCCATGCCCGGGGTCGATGAGATCTCGAGCGAGGACTTCGAAGGGCCTGAAGGAGATCAGCAGCCCCCCGGGGAGGAGGACAGGAGCGCTGAAGAGGCACTGCGCCGCATCGTGGAGGCCCCCGACTCAGAGCCCGAGCAAGAGGAGACTCCAGAATCTCGAGCATCATCATCGACACCACCTCCGGCAGCAGCACCAGCACCCGCAAGGCCGGCGTCCACCGAGTATCAAGTGGGAAAGAACCCTCTCCTGGATGACGTACCAATATCAATCCAGCGCAGCGTGGCGAGCAGGACAGCACCGACTACGCCATCAGAGGCACCCCCCGAGAAGAAGGCAAGGACGGCTGAGGAGCTCGGGGTGGCGGAGATCTTCTCCAATATGACGGAGGACAGAGACATCTACCTGGCCGAGTTCATCATGGAGGGCGACGCGCTGGCGGCGTTCAGCGAGAAGCCGAAGCAGACGCTGAAGAAAGCAGTCAAGAAGGGCCAGGTCGAGATCAACTTGCGGAAAGCGACTCCAGAGGTGAAGGCCTTGGTGGGCAACGCCAAGCTCGTGGAGGTGAACAACTGGATGCACAACGAGGTGTGTCAGGCGGCTCTCCGGAAAGCCGGGGTGAAACCTATGAAGATGAGGTGGCACCTGATCATGAAGGACGACGGCAAGGTAAAAGCGAGGCTGATCCTGCTGGGGTTCCAGGACCCGCGTCTGGCCATGATCGACAAGTCGAGCCCCACCGTCTCGTCTCGGGGCCGGAACTTGGCGCTGCAGATGATGGCCAATATGCGACTCAAGCTCTACAAGGGCGACGTCAAGGCAGCTTTCCTGCAAGGAGATCCAACTCAAGCCAAGCACGACCTGCTGGTGGAGCCGGTACCTGAGCTCCGCGAGGCCATGCAGTTGTCAGATGACGAGTGCGCAAAGATGCTGAAGGCGGCCTACGGACTCGTGAATGCCCCGAAGGAGTGGTATCACAAGGTGGACAGCGACCTGAGGAAGCTGGAATATGTGGCGATGACCCTGGAGCCCTGCCTGTGGATCAAGTACGACAGCAACGGGCAGGTTGAGACGGTCATCTTCGTACACGTGGACGACTTCGTGATGGGCATACCGAGCTCACCCCCAGGTTACAAGAACTTGTGCCAGGTGCAGGAGCTGTACAGTTGGGGATCCTGGGAGACCGGATTCATCACGCAGTGCGGCTCGGAGTACGTGCAGCTGGCAGACTACACCATCCTTCAGAGCCTGGCCAAGGCCGTGAAGAAGGTTGAGTACATCGAGCTGAACAAAGAAGAATCGAAGCTGAGGGATGAGGTACCGCTGTCCGACCGTCTCAAGTCCAAGTGCCGAGCCGCTCTGGGGAGTACCATGTTCCTGGCGTCTCAGGGAATGAAATGGCTCGCAGGAGAGACTAGCATTTTGGGTGGTGAAGTGCCTACTGGAACGATGGCGACCGTCAAGAAGATCAACAAGCTAGTGCACACCGCTCATGAGACCTCGTGGATCACGATAGTGTTTAAGCCTATGGACGACCCGGTCTTCGTAACATGGCATGATGCAGCGTGGAAGGTGCGGAAATCGGGAGGCTCTCAGGGTGGAATGATTATGGCGATGGCGGAACGCAAGATTCTGGACGGTCAGCTTACGAGTGTTTCAGTGATTCAAGGAGCCTCTCGCAAGTTACCCAGGGTAGCCCGCAGTTCTCTTAGCGCTGAAATTCAAATGGGGACTATGGCCAACGAAGCTCAAGAGTATGCTCGACTAGCCTGGTATGAGATGCTACACGGACGTCAGATACCAGTCCATCAGATCAACGAGTGCCTCAAGACGGTGTCTGGGACGCTGGTGACTGACTGCAAGGCCATGTACGACAGTGTGGTGAGAGCATGCTCATCCGGCTACGGCTGCAACGACCAGAGGTCTGCGATCGAAGCGCTTGCCCTACGTCAAAGCATGAGTGCAGCTACAACCGTATTACGATGGGTTCATTCTGAAGCGATGATAGCCGACGGACTCACGAAGTTGGAGGCGCCCGCTCTGCAGGTCACCTTGGGCTTCTACGTCAAGCAGCAGTGGGCCCTGGTACAAGACCCGAGCTTCACTTCATCCAAGCGTCGCAAGATCATGAAAAAAGACACCTTGGACAAAATCGACGATGAAGATCGACCCCCCGTGGTGCCCAGCTACAGTGATGAAGACCCTGAGAGTGACTTCGAGGATGAGCAGCTCCAGACCCGCTCGAGCTTGGCCGCTGCTGTACAGGCTTGTCCCACCTCGTTCTCAGTTCTGTCTCACTCTGCCAGGCCTCGTCAGAAACTCATTTCAGGTCTGGAGGTATTTCACCTCAAGTAAGGGGAGCACTGAACCCCCCGTCTCGTAGAAATCAGGTTTTTGTCTAGAACGCTAACAGAAGTTGGCATGTGGATTTCTGTACTCATATTCAGTGCTCGAGCTTTCTGTGCGCGGTTTCCATATCGAACTGTTTGTTTGACTTGGCTCGTGATCGAGCCCCAGGCATCCTGCCCCGAGGAAAGATACACTCTTCCTATTCTACACAGTGGAAGTTGATTACTGATATCATCTTATTATCTCAGCGACTTCTCTTCGAGTTAACCTCGACGAGGCGATAAATCACACTGGGGCCTTCGGTGGGGCTCCCTATGGGGCCACGAAACGCTGTACTGGGTCCCCGGGTGTGGCGGACGCATGCGGGCACCCCCACTGGGGCCTTCGGTGGAGCTCCCTATGGGGCCACGAAGCGCTGTACTGGGTGTGGCGGACGCATGCGGGCACCCCCGCCGTGGCCCTCGGTGGAGCTCCCCATGGGGCCACGAAACGCTGTGATGGGTGTGGCGGACGCATGTGGGCACCCCGCCGGGGCCCTCTGTGGAGCGCCCTATGGGGCCACGAAGCGCTGTACTGGGTGTGGCGGACGCATGCGGGCACCCCCGCCGTGGCCCTCGGTGGAGCTCCCTATGGGGCCACGAAGCGCTGTACTGGGTGTGGCGGACGCATGCGGGCACCCCCACTGGGACCTTCGGTGGAGCTCCCTATGGGGCCACGAAACGCTATACTGGCTGGGGGAAACGCAGGGAGGAGGGAGCAGGGGGAGGAGGGGGAGGAGGAGGAGAGAGGAGGAACACGGGAACCGTCTCTTCAAAACGAAGACCCAACACCACAGGATGGCTGGGAAAAACACGAAAGGCTTGCGTGTCCTGTTTCAGACCTCAAGACCCTCGCCAAAGTCCCGCAGACAGATGGGGTCAGGGATGCCGTCGTGATTTTCACGGAGAAGATCTGAAGGGAAAAGATTTGCGCTTTGCTGGACGGGTCCACAAGACTCTGACCTCCGACAACACGAAGACTGTCTCCAGACCCCCAAAATCTTCGACCCCTTCCCCAGGACCGGCTCGACTCCTGGGCAGCTCTTGACGGTCCTGGGCACCCCAACTGGCTCCTCTACGTTATCCAGACAGAAAGGTCGCCTCGATGGGTGCGCGGCCCCCCGAGGGAGGAGAGGGAGGGAGGGAGGGGATGGGGAGGGAGGGAGGGGAGCGAGGGAGAGAGGGAGGGAGGGCCTGGGAAAGCTGCCGAGCTGCCAGGCCGCCCTGTGGCGCGGCGACGAGGCGGATTTCGGGGTTGGAGGGACGGCGCCCGAGGGGCCGGCCCAGCCTAGGGTCACGAAGCAGCGAGGGATCGTCAGCACGCCCATGCCGATGACCTGAGCCCAGCCCCTCCCCCCGAAGCCCTCACCAGGGCTGGACCTACAGTCGGGGCGCCGACCTGAGGAACCCTAAATATGGAACGAGGCTCCTTTTTCCCAAAAGTTGAACTTCGATTTCCCACAGAAAACCTTACAGAAACCTGAGGGAAACTGCACAGAAAAGGGTTATTTCTTCAGCGCCCCGACTGTAAACGTTGTTTTTCGTTTGCTTTTCGTTTTGTTTGTCGTTTTGCTTTGCCTGTTTTCCTGCACCTCCCTGCCACAACAAAAAACAATACACGGCCGAAGTCCAGCAAAACAGCGTTTATAGAGGCCTCCTAGATGGGGTCGGAGTAGATGGGGTCGGAGGATCGCGCCGCATCGCCGATGCATCGGCTATGCATCGGCGACGCATCGTCGATGTGCGCGATGCATCGGCGACGTCGGCGTGGAGGAAATCGGGTTCCGCTTCGAGCCGCATCGTCGATGCATCGGCGATGCGGCGCGATCCTCCGACCCCAACTGCTCCGACCCCACCCAGGAGGCCTGGCGCTTAGGTCCAGCCCTGTTCCCCGAGGCCCTCCCTGCGCAGGCCCACTCGGCTCCGCACTCCGCGCCGCGCGGGCAGCGCAGGGCGCGGCCTCCGTGGCCACCTGCTCACGCGCTCGCGCCGCCGCCCTGAGCAGGCCCAGGCCGCGACGCGCGAGGCGCGGTGGGTGTTCGCGCCCATTCCGTTGGGTCGGGCGTGACATCCAAAAACATTAGCTCCAAAATAATCAGCAGATGCTATAAGATCGTCCCCTGATTACTTTTTGGCTATTTTTGGATATTCCTCCTGTAGAGGGACACGCCCGACTTAAGCCTCCCGGTGACCTGGCCTGCGTCGCGCCCCGCCCCTCGACTGCAGGCCGCAGCGCCTGAGCCGAATTCTTTTCGAGGGGGCGAGGGGGCGGTGGCGGGAAGGTGGGATGGATGGCGCCGGCTCGGCGCCCTGCGTAATCCGTGGACAGCTCCAGCGAGCTCCGCGGACAGCTCCAGCGAGCTTGAAGAACCCACGGGGTTCGGGAAAGGCATGCAACCTGATGTCGACCGCTTTTGGCCTCCGGAAACCTCCGGAAACCTCAGGTGGCCTCCAGGGTCCTCCTGAGGCCTTCTGGGACCTCTGGAGATGACCTCCTCCTCACCCTCCGCTTTGGAAGGGACCTCCACCGCCGCCACCCACACAACCACCTCCACCTGAATTGTCCGAGGACTTTGCTTTTCGTATGTGTCGCCATCACTAACGACCCCCTCCTAGCGCGACGACGACGACGACGACGACTGGGGGACACCGAATACACTGAGAAATGGCGCTCGACTTGTGATGAGATAATATGCCGATGTACTGCAATATCTCCTTGAGCCAAAATAGGCGCACAGAGGAGGGTGTCAGAATCACTCCTCCTCGGGCCTGGCCGCAAACCGGCCAGGCACGACCTAAGTCGTACGCGGGCGCGCCCGAGCCGACGCGCCCAGCTCATCTGCTAGGCTGCGGCCATGCCGCGAGCCCCTCACTCCGCCCGGCGCGATCATACCGCCGCCGGCGGAACCTCATCCAGCCCCACAGGTAGCGGAGCATGGATTCGATCCACTCCATCACTTGATGTCCTTCTGATTCGAACTCGGTGCCCGATCCCAGATGTTCAGCGTAGCCATGTGTCTCCTCAAAAGGGAGCCACCCACGCTCTTGGTCAGCACGTCCGCGACATTGTTCTTGCCAGGAACTGCAGCGATCGAGAGGTCGCCCTTGCCAACACGCTCCTGGATCCACAAGTATCGTGATTGAACATGCCGCATCTTCCCGAGACCTCGCCGTTGGACGTGGCCCCGGGCCGCCGATGAATCCGAGGCAAGCTCCACCTTCAGGTCCAGCCCCCAATCCGCGAAGAGGCTGTGAAGGCCTAGGCCCACGCTCCCGCCCTTCACCAGGGCGTAGTACTCGCTCTCCCCGCTGCTCAATGAAACCGTCGACTGCAGGTTACTGCCGTGCTTGACTACATGATGCCCCAGCATCGCCACGAAGCCTCCGGTGCTCTTCCGCGTGACTGCACAGCCTGCATGATCGGAGTCCACGTACACCCGGATCTTGTCGAACGTCTTCTGCTCCGTGAAAACCGTCACCGTGCTAGGATGCCGCTTGAGGTAGCGGCCAACCCTCTTGAGCATGAACCAGCTCGCCTCCGTTGGCGTCTGCATGGACCTGGCGAGCGTCTTCGATGCCTCAGCCAAGTCCAGCCTGTCCTGAGACAGGTAGGCCACCCTCATGGTGAGGGATCGGAAGCGCGAAGCTTCCGCTGCTCCCAACGCCGCCGACTTCGCATCCATCATCTGCTTGTCGGCGCTGCGCTTCTCCGTCGGCGTGTCCACGCCGTTGGCCTTGCTGAGACCCAACTCGTCGATCACGATCTCCGCGTGCCGCTTGTCCGGCTCGATCATCGCATGCCGGCAGGGCCGGCCACCGCCAGGCGGAACTCCCGCACTGACCTCGATGACCCGATTCAGGAAGACCGCCTGCTTGTCATCGCCCTCGTCGAAGCCTAGGTTCGCAGTCTTCTTGAACTCGTACTTCTTGCCCAGCGTGGCCTCGAAGCTGTCGATGTCCTGCTGCTGAGCCAGCACCGCGAAGTCGTCGCCGTGCCCCAGCAGCCTCGTCTCGTCCACCTCCTTGTAGAAGACCGCTGGGCACGACACGCCCGCCTTGTAGCCGTTTTCCTCCAGCAGCTCCGTGTAGTCGCCCTGCCAGATCTTGCTGGCGTCCTGCGTGCCGTACCAGGACTTGAGGAGTAGGCCGCACTTGTCCTCGCCGTACTCCTTGCGACTCTCCTCCTCCAGCTCCACGAAGATCCTCCGCTGCGCCTTCCCGTAGAAGTGCGCCCTGCTGATGTCGAAGAAGCCGATCTTGAAGTTGCCCGGCTTCCTGCCCTTCTTGCGAAGCGACTCCTGAATGTGGAGCGGTGGTTCCCGCGTCCACGTGACCATCAGCGAGACCAGCGACCGCATGGCCTCCAGAGGAGGCATGGCCGAGAAGACCTCGGACGCCTCCAGCTGCTCGTCAGGGCGCTTCTTCGCCTTGATCTCCTTCACGACGAGCCTGCTCCTGTAGTTGGGCCTCTCCGCGTCACCCTTGTTCGTGTCGACCCACTTGAGTGGGATGGGCGGACGCCCAGTCTCGGCAAAGCCTGAGACCTCGGGACGATCTCGATCAGCTCCTGCTTCTTGACCCACTCGCGCTCGACCGTGCGAGCCTGGGCCACAAGGCCCGCCTCCAGGTAGCCGCCATTGACGTCGTCCCAGTAACTCGTCCAGTCCCCGGGCGGCACTGCCGCGTCCACAGGGACTGGGCCCGACTGCTGCACCTGGGCGGTGCTGAGCTCTCCCACGTCATTCAGCGTGTCCTTGAGCTCCTCCAGCACCGCCTCCACCAACTTCGGTGGATAGACCTTCGCGAACCGCGCGATGCCGCCCACGAGCGTGATGTGGCGATGCCATTCCGCGCGGCCGTCCACATTGCTGCAAGTGCCCTGCAGCCTCCGGGCTAGGCCTGGATGGTTGGTGACCCATCCGGTCTCCTTGCGCACGAACTCCTCCTGGCCATTGCGGGGGTTCGTGAGCTTCATGCCCCACCGACACATGGGGCCTTTGACCGTGAAGACTCCTGGATGCGCGACCAGCTCCTTGACGATGTCCTCATTCCACGATCGCGCGCTCCAGGGATGCTCATGCAAGAAGTACCTGCCTGGCTTCCTGAGCTGACGCCAGTAGGCGTCGACTGCCACCTTCAGGTGGTGTCTGGCCTCCTCCATCTCAGCCGCCTCCTGCTCATCGGTCCTGAACTTGGCGCTCAGGCCCCTCAGCAAGCTGAACTTCTCGCATGGAGGGGACCCCGTGAGCAGGATGGGATCCATCCGCTCCTGCTGCTTCTCGAGCTCCTTGACATCTTCGGGGCGCCGCAAGTCCCACGGCGCCCCGTCCTCCTTGAGTTCCTCCAGGTCCGCCGCGAAGCCCGGGCGCAGCTGAAATTCCGCTGCCCGAGCCGAGAACCGATGTGGCGAGTGCACCTCGGCCACGTCCACGGCGCCCAGCTGCAACGCCGATAGGGCGATGCTGTCCACCTCCTCGTCGGCGATGTCCACGCCGGCGCTGGCCCAATGGCCACTGACCTGTTCGCGAACGAGCGGGAGCAACTCCGCCTTCGCTCTCGTCAGCACTCCGAGCTCAACCAGCTCGATCGACGCCACATCGAGGGCGAGCACCCGCATGTGCCTCCCCTCACTGGCGTTCCACACGACTGCCACTCCAGCTGGCAGCTGAGGTCCTTCCGCCGGCGCCGGCTGCGCCGCGAGATCCTCCATGTCCACCGGTACCGGCACGTCTGCCGGCTGTGGATCACCGCGCTCGAGGGCCTCCGGCACATCATCCGGGGCCACCTCTGCCGAGCGCTTCAGCCGCGACCTAGCCGCGGTCATGTCGACATCCGCGGCGGCCTCTGCCGCTCGCGCCGCTCCCGAACTGGAGCTCGCTCCTCCTGAAGGAGCCGCCACGCCGAAGCCCGGTGCTACCGGCTGGCTCTCTCGCAGGCGCGCCGCCGTGGCTGCCACGGCTGGCGCTGCTGCCGAGCGGGTCGCGGCCGGCGCGGCCGATGCCGCTGCCGCCGCTGCCACCGGCTCGGTGATCCTCCGAGCCGTCTTCGGCGGAGGGGTCCCTGCCGCGGCCGATGCCGCCGGTCGGACTCTGGCCTCTTGGCCCTGCCTCCGCTCTCGATACTGGCCGGTCCTCTCCCGGCCTGCCTCCTCCGCGTCCAGCGCTTCGAAGATCCTCTTGCTGCACACCGCGTTGTGCGCGTGGCCAGCCAGCACCCGGCCGTGCTTAGCGATCGAGACGCACCCTGGGCATCCCGGCGTTGCGCCCAGCCGCTCGATGTCCGCCTTGAGGACGTACATCCTCCTCGGCGCCTGCGGCTGCGGCGACACCACCACAATTGGTGACGGACCGACCTCTCCAGGTCCGACGACGGCCCGCGGCGCGCTTGCCGCACGCGGAGCCACGTCCCACGGCAGGCCCTTCAGGCCATCCCAGCCCGCCGTGATCCACTTCTCGCTCTGCGGCAGGCTGCGGAAGCCGACCGCCTTCTTCACGCCGTCGCTCGTGATGACCATCATCGAGCTGTCGCGCGGGTGGTGGCCGATGTAGCGAGCCTCCACCATCTGCTCCTCCAGCGCGTTCTTCCTCACGCGTTCCCCGGCGAACCGCGCCATCAAGCGTTCGCCGAAGAGCGGTGCCGGCTTCCTCCACTGCCGTCCCGTGAGCCGCTGAAGAGCGGTCTTGCCGTCCTGGCCGCGCCGGTATCGGTTGATTACCGATGCGGCGTGCTCCGGCAGGTGCGCTAGCACCGGGTGCTTGTCCTCCACCTTGACGCCCAGCTTGGACTCCAGGTCCATCTTGAGCGCCCGCACCTGCTTCTTGATCTCGCGCACCGCGACCTCAATCTCCCCATTGGCCTGATGATCGGCCGGTGCCGACTCCTGGGGAATGGCCTCGAGGCCAGGAACCTCCTCCACCGCGCGCCTCTTGACCAGCAGGATCGCTGGCTCGCCGTCGGACTTGTTGACGATCTTCCTGTAGCCCAGGATCCGCAAGAAGCGCGCGAAGAACTTGATGGCGTAGGTGTCGTCGCCCTTCTTCTCCGCGAATGTCGCCGCCATCATCTTCGAGCGCCGATCCCTAAGGACCAGCATCGGCATGGTGTCCGCGTCGTCCTGGCCCATGAAGGCGTAGTCGGACGAGACCACCGGCACCGCTGTCTCGTCGTCCTCCGGTGCGCGGAGATGCGGCTGGCCTTGGCCCTTTGCCGCAATACACACGCGACACCAGCTGCGGTAAGTCGCGTGTCCCATCGCCTCGTGTTCGGCGATCTCCCTCTGAGAGGGCTCATGAGGTGCCTTCAGCACTCTCGGGCGAGCCTCCTCCTCGCCCTCCTCGGCCTGCTGTCCATCAGGAGCAGCTGGCAAAGCGTCGGCCGCAGCAGCTGCCGCTGGCTGAAAACCCGGCGGTCTCACGTCGGAAGATCCCGACCCCGCCGCTGCCGCCCCCGCAGCCGATGCCGCTGGGGGCCGTGGTATTAAGTCCTCCAGTGGGCTTACGCCGAGGGCTGCCTCCTGGGGACTGTCTTCTCGAGGATCTCCAGCAGCTCCTCCTTCGACTTGCCGTTGAGGAGCTCCACCAGCTCGGACTTCGACTTCGCCGAAAGTCCCTCCTCGAGAGGAGCAACCGAGCCATGTTGGCCCTTCTTGAGGTAGAAGTTGTAGACGCCCTGCTCGCGATAGACCGGCAGCATCTGGTGCTTCGCCGCCTTCGCCTCCTTCTCGAGCATGCCTACCACGCGCTTGCCGATTGGGCTCTTCTCGTGGAATATCCAGCCGCCATTGCGGCCCAGGAATGAACACTGTCCAGCTCCTGCTGCCTGCCCCACCGAGATCAACGGCTTGTGCACGTTCGTCACGCGTCCCTTGAGCGCTCGTAGCACTCCGTACTCGTCCTCCGCCTTGAGCTGCAAGCTGCCCTCGTCCGGGACGAGCTCACCACTGGCCGTACGACACGTGCTGCCGTTGCCCTTCATTCCCGTCGGCGGCGCGAAGCTCCGAGGGAATGCTGAGATAGCTGCACCGCTGTCCCAGTTGAACTTCATCCAGTCGTCCTGCGCGAAGGGAGAGAGATCGACCGCCGCTACGCCGCGGCCGCTGCCGCTGGCGAGCTCCAGGCAGTCCAGGCTGCCCATGTCCAGAGCGGCGACCTCCGCTTCAGGCTCCTCCTCCAGGCTGCCTGCAGCCTTGCCGCCGGCCTTGCCGCCGCGGCTACCGGCTTTACCACCAGCGCTTGCCCCCGTTGCGGATCCAGTTCCAGCCCTCGAACTCGATCCCTGCTCTTTCTTCCAGCAGTCGGATGCCTTGTGGCCCCATCTCTCGCAGTTCCGACAGTAGCCGTCGAAGCGCCCGCTGGTGGATCGAGGTGCCGTGTGCCCTAAACCACGGCCCGAACCCGTCGGGGATGTGCGGGGGCCTGAGTATGATCCGTTCGTCGATTTGCTCTTCCCCTTCGGCTCCTGAGTCTTGCCTTTCCCTTTGCTCTTGCCGTCCTTGCCCTTGCCTTTGCCTTTGCCCTTCGGGGCTCCGAACGACCCGACGTCCATGTCGTCCGGATGATGCGCCCGCGCACGGATCGATGGCTCCTTGATCTTCACGCCGGTCCGAGCCTCCACGATCGTCATCACCTCGTTCAGACTGTCCTGGAACGTTTCGAGCCGATGCTTGTTGAGGACGAGGTGGTTCTCGATGTCCTGAGGCACGAGCATCTCGAGAGCCGCCATCTTGATATCCTCCGGCAGCTCGGCTAGACCATCTTCTCCTTGGCGGCGTTCGTACCTGCCTATCTGCTGGATCCACTTCTCTAAGGCGGATCCCAGCTCGTCCGCGCTGCACTTCGGAGGCGAGATGATCGACCTCAGGATCAGCCTCTTCCTCGGACCTGTCGTCGGATCCCACCTGCGGTGAAGCTTCCGCCAGGCTTCGAGACCGTTCCCATCGGGAGCGCCCGTCACGAGGTCGTTGCTCTCGCTCCCGTCCGCCGTCGTGCTGAGCAGCGCCGCGTACAGCTGGTTGACCTTTGTCTCCAGCTCTGGCACTCCGTCGTGCGCCGCCTGAGCTCCCGCGATCGCCACGGGGCGTTCGGCTTCTGCAGCCCACCGAAGAACGGGACGAAAACTCTCTCCGTACACGCCGATCACGTAGTTCTCCATCTTGCGATTCCAAGCGCCGAACTTCTCTTGATCGTCGCCCATCGTCGTGGGCTTGCCGATCCCCTTCGTGTCGACGAGACCGTGAGCGACTGTGCCCATACTCGACGCGCCCCGGATCTGCTCGCCCATCCGCTCGATCGCCTGCGGGATTGCCGCGAGGCCTCCTGCCACCTGCTGCTGAAGCCGCTGATTCTCGTTCTCCAGCCTCCTCATCTCGTCGGCGGCCTGGCTTATTTGAGCCGCGAACTCCTGCCTCAGCAGTTCGAACTGCTGCCGAACCTGCTCGTCCATGCTTGACAGCGTGTCTCTCGGCGAGCTCCTCCCGGCTCTCTGCTATCTCCTGCCTCGTACGCTCGAGGTCCGTGATCCTGCCGAGGACTTCCTTCTGCGCTCTCTCGACGACGTCTGATGAGTTCTCCGAAGGATGGTCCTCGATGTGCGCGAGGTCACTGAGCTTGTTGCCCGTCTCCCTCAGGTCGTGCTTGTACTGGAGTACCCTGCGCCTGGTCTCAATCGCCGCCTCACTCCGCTTGCCGCGCCTGCGGCCGCCTTTCCCGGCCCCTGCCGGTCGCTCGGTCGCTGCCGAGCTTGCCGCGGTCGACGCCGCCCTGCTCCAGTCTCGAGCCTCCTGCCGGCTCGCCGTGGCGCCCGCGGCCGCGGCGCGCCGAGGCCTGGGTGGGGTCGGCAGCAGTGAGTGGCCAGCTCACGCTACCATGATGAGATAATATGCCGATGTACTGCAATATCTCCTTGAGCCAAAATAGGCGCACAGAGGAGGGTGTCAGAATCAACTTGGCACCAAATGAACAGATTCACGGTGCCATCTGCCGAAGCGACGCGAATAAACATTGCTGGGCCGCCTGAGGTCCTGGCCCTGCCGCCGTCCTGTGCGAGGCAGGGAACTGCGCTGGCCGACCATTCCTTTCGTACCGCTGCCCTATTCTCGGGGAGCTTGCACCTCTGGCCGTCCCAGTGTGCCAGCCAATGGCGGACCCCCCTGCCGACTGAGCAGTTCGATGTACGGCCCACCTGGGCCTCCCGGCTCGTGCGCCACCTGGCTGTTCGGGGAGCGGCCTGCACGTTGAGCGCGGAACTTGCGCTTGCCAGCACGAGGAGGAAACGACACATACGACACGGCCTCTGGGGGGCGACGTGAGCGCGGCTTGAGGGCTGGACATTGCCTCCTTTAGCGGAACATTATTCAGTGAAAACGACTCGGGACCAGACCCTTCTCGCGCAGGCCCGCAAACATGGCGATCGAAACACCTTCTCGAGAACCGGAAAATATAAATTCGGTAATCGACTTGGCAGGGTGGGGGTTCTATCAACCTCGGAGCTGCCTCATCGTCGCCTTCCACGATCTGCGTACTCGGCCCATGATTGGCAGAGTGGGCCTCGTCCCTCCTCCTCGATGTCCTCGGAGAAGCTCGGACACGCGGAAGTTCACATGGATTCCGGATCTCGGCGGAAAGGGAAGGATCCTCGAGACCAATTCATGGCGCTTCCCGAAATCATTCTCCCGTTCTGTGGGCATCACCTCCTCCCCCCTGTCCCTCCCTCCCTGTCCACCAAAACACCCTCCTCCCTGCCTCTGCTAGCACGTCCCTTTCCGTGCCCCTATGGCAAACCATGGCGACATGGGATCTCGTTTCGGTCATCGCGTGAACAATTCAATCTTGAAAGACCTCCGCTGTCGGGGAGAATGACGCGGATCCTCCGCTTAGGTCCTACAGGCGGATTTCTGACGAACAATGTAAAAATACCCAACCAATACTCCCAAATGATTAAACATAATCAAAAATCGTCCCCGGACAATATTTTTTTTAGTATGTTTGAATACTCCTCCTGTAAAGGGACAGGCCCGACTGTTAATCCTCCGCTCGAGACGGCACGAGCCGACCGCCTCCCTGGCAGCGTCTCCCTCCCCACCCCTCTCCCTCCTTTGCGCGCCCCCGTGCGTCCCTCCCTCCCGGCACTCGGGCCGCGACTGGCGCGGCGGGCACTGATCCAGGACACCCTACGCTCATGAGGAGGGGCGGCCCTGGCCCCCCACGATGGGCCTGCGGTCCGCCCCCCCTCCGCCACCCCCCCACCCCCAACCCCTCCACCCCCGCAGGCTTTCCGATCGAACCGAGGAGGGGGAGCAGAGAGAAAAGATGGGGAGCAGAGAGAACAGCCAGGGGAGAGAAGGGCACCCTATGTGCGCTCGCGCCGTAGCTGGCATCATCCCACCCATCCCTTTTTACTGCTCGGAACTTTCTCTATCCACCGACGGGTGTCATAACGGAACTGGAAACCAAAACAAAAACACCATCGTGTTATGCGCAATCATGAAAACTGTGCCCTTGAGAAGGAGGAGGAGGTGGAGGAGGAGGAGTGAGGTGGCGGAGAAGCTAGACAAGAGCAGGAATAATAAAATGAGTGGGATAAGCAAGAGGACGAGGGGAAGACGGAGGAGCGGAAAGGAGCAGAAAGGCAACGATGAGAAGGATTCAAATCCAGAAAAATGGCCCGCGCTGGGGCGAGAGCGCCATCCTGAACGACGGGAGCAAATTACTGATCCAAAAAGGAGGCCAGCGCTGCAGCGGAAACCCCATTTTGAAACACCGACGAAAACGTTCCGATCCATACGTAGCACCCCGCAGCTGCGGATAAGAGTGAGGGGGCGGCGGGGACATCGGCAGTCTGCGAGGCTCTGAAAAAGCCTCCCGAAGACGCCGAGTTTCTACAAGCTGTGCAACGAGCCCGCCGCAGGCGCCGATTTTTTCGTCAAAACAATGTGGGTGGATCGTGGGTGGGTCGCAAGCCGAAACCGATCGAGGCTCATTCTACGATAAAGGGCCGAGAAGGAAGCAACGTCGCGGCAACGATGCCGCAGCCGACCGAAGCGACCCAATGCAGTCGACAGCGACGCAGCAGAACAGACCGAGTAGCGGTGACCGGCAGAGCCTCCTGAGAACCCTCGGGCATCGCCGTGGGTCTCCTGAGCTCGCGCCGTGCGCCGCGCGAGAGTGCGGTTGTCTGCGCGCTGCCGCGCCGCCCCCCCGGAGAGGAGCAACCCTCTGGCACAGAGCACGGATCGTGGGTTTGTCTTCGCGCCCGTGCGGGGGCGCCCGCTGCTGATACCCTTCCCTGCTCCTACGTGCATCAAGCCTGGAGAAGCAGCAAGATCGATGTGGTCGAGCACATGCCGGCCGTTCCAGCGTGCCGCCCTCGGGCCTTACCTTGACGATCTCGAGCGGGCCCAGGACCCCGTGCGCGAAGCGCGGCCGATGAGACGGGCGCCAGGACCCACCCTACATTCCGAAGCTCGTCAGCCCTTTGTAACTGGCCCCCGCTCCCCCACCTGCCTCCCAGCGCGCAAGAAAAAAACCGAGGGGCATAAACTTTTGATCTGCGGGGCGAGAGCGAGCCTCTTCCGCTAAAAGCTAGGCGAGGGGCATAAACAGGGGAAGAGGAGAATGGTGAACCCTCCACGGAGCTCGAGCATACCAGAAAGCTTCTGCTCAGCCCTCTGGAGCTCCAGCAAATCCTCCTGCCCCTGAAGCCCCCCCGTGTCCCCTGCTTTGCTGTCCACCCAACGGTCGCGCGGCTGCTCCGCGGACCGACGCGTTGATGGCCCACGCCGCCACGGGCCAAGACATGGTCTTGTCCGCCTCGGGAGCAGACGCTGTGGGGAGGAACGGCCAGGTGTAAGAGGGTGGCCAATCGCGCATGATTTCTGAACTGACAGCCTTCCCCAATGCCTCGTTCAGAAGGAACGCAGCGCGGACATGAATGAGTCGATCCTGCTTTTCCTCTTCTGCGATCAGCTGAGAAGCTTTGAGGAATCAGCCCCTTGTCAAGGCTCCCATTCGTGGTCACTTCCTCCGAGCTGAGTTGGGCTAGCGCCACACTGAGCTGGGGCTGATTCGCTCTGACGCCCAGCTCAGCCCACCTCCGTTCAGCTCAATCTAAAATTGGTTAAATGTATGTTCGGTTCATCTTAATGTTCGGTTATTGAACTGAAATGGCGCTAGCTGTAATTCGACTCGAACATGTCGTTCTACTTTCATACCAGCGATGTGTGGCGTCTGAGCTGACGGGCCAATAGCAATAGGCAAATGCAAGCACACAAGCGTGCAAACATGCACACGAACACGACGCACACGGACAACAACTATCAAGGGAGCTACTGGACTCATCGCGGCTCCCGCGCAGCAGACTTGTCATCGAGTGCAGCGGCGAGCGTTGGGCACACAACGCTCGTTGCGCTGCTGACCTGGGTGGGCAGTTGCATGGCACACTGCGGTCAACTCTCTGCGAGTTATGGCAGCTGGCTGTCCTGACCACACACAGGGGGGCAACTCAACCCCAAACGAAACGAACAAACACAATCAAGCGCAAACACGCAAGCGCACACAACCAAACAATGGTTACCGTGGTCAGGCCCAAGCAGCCGTGTGCATACATGCAGGCGGCCCAAGGACGTGAGCGCAACCAGGCAGGGAAACACGAACACCTACGCAACCAATCGCAAGGGAACAACCGCGCGCCGTTGAACAAACATTCCAGACAATTCGAGCCTGCAAGGCAGATACTCGTGCACAATACAGCGCCAGGCCAGGTTGACGGAAATCTCCAGAATGATAAGACACTCTGCACCACCCTGTAAAGGCTCCAAGACGAACCCTGGCCTACAGAAGAAGAAACATGTTGCCTAGGGATTCGATTTGCCAGACCGCGGCGACGGGGACGTCGGCGCCTGCAAAGGCGCTGACCACAGCGTCGGCGGCAACGACGATGGCGACAGCAACGGCGGGAACGGCGACGGCGGAAACGGCGACGGCGGCAATCTCGAAAGCGGCAACGGCGATGTCCACGGCGGCGTCGGCGACGGCGGCAACGTCGGCGACGACGACGACGACAACGGCGCCAGCGAAGGCGTCGACGGCGTCGGCGACGACGACGCCGATGGCGACGACGGCGCAAACGGAGGAGGCACCAGAGAAAGCGACGGCGAGGGCGGCGACGGCGACGACCAAGGCGGCGACAGCGACGGCGGGGCGACAGCGAGGGCGACGGCAGCGAAAGCGAAAGCGGCAACGGCGACGACCATGTCACAACCTGGTTAGCTGCTCGACATGCAGGAACGCCCTCGCTCGGCAACAACCCAGTTCTTGAGCGCACGCCGGGCGCTGCTGGATTGCGTCCACTCAATAAAAACAGAATGCCGAAGCGCATCCTCGTTGTCGGCACAGGCTGCGGAGCGCCCTCGCTCGATAGAAATGGACCGCTGGAGCGACGAACGACGGACGACGACCCGACCGACGACGACGACGACGGCAAACGGAGATCACCGACCAACGACGACGACGGCGACGACGACGACCGACCGACGAAAAACGACGACGACGCCCACCCGACTGGATGACGTCGGCCGACAGACAGAACACCAACGACGACGACGACGACGACGACGACGACCGACGGCCGTCGACACCGACGACCCACGAAGACGACGGACGCCGCCGCAAAAGCCCAGAAGACCGACCGCGATGGGCCGGAGCAAAATTTCCAGAAAGCGGGCGTTTTAAAATGACAGAAGGCTCCCCTCCCTGTGTGCCCCCTTCTCCCAGAAAAAGGGGGGCTTCAAGGCGGGAAAGCTGCATGAACAAAAGCCCCCAATGAGAACTTCGATGTGGCACTGGAAACCGTCACGTACGGCACTTCGTGTCTCCAGGCTCCGGAGAGCCGTGATGAGGATGATGAGAATTATGAGGAAGATGGGGGTGATGACGGAGATGGTGATTGATGATGCTGCTGATGATGACGATGATGACCGATGGGGGTGGTGGCGATGATTGTCGTGGTGATGGCGATGCCGAAGATGATACAGATGATGATGACATGGATGATGATGGTGGGGATGGATTGTGCTGATACTGCTGCTGCTGATGATGTTGCTGTTGATGTTGAGGAGGATGGCGATGATGGTGATGCTGATAATGGCGATGATGATGGTGATGGTGGTGATGCTCATGGTGAGGGTGCAAATGATGACGATGATGATGATGATGGAGATCATGGTGACGCTGATGATGATGAAACTGTTTATGCTGATGGTGATGATGACGGTGCTGATGATGGTGGTGGTGATGATGATGCTGATGATGGTGGTGATAATGGCGCCGATCATGCTGATGCTTATGCTGATACGGATGATGACGATGATGCTGCTGCTGGTGATGATGGTGATCATGATACTGATGTTGATGATGCTGATGACGCTGCTGCTGATGATAATGAGACTCGGCTCGGCCGTATTGGGGCTGTCTTGGCCTCCTGTGAGGCAATCCTGGAGGTCCATTGGGGTCCTGTTGGGCCGTCTTGGGGCATTCTCACGCCGGCTTGGGATTCGCTTGGGCCGTCTATTGTAACCAGGCTGGGCAGGAAGCGCGGGTAACATCAGAACGAATGCGGTCCACGCGAGATCTCCAGATCACCCTTGTGGCAGCTGAGAGCAGCTACCCTCGTGAAAAGCACAGACGACAAAAATTGCAAGCAGAAGCGAGACCGTGCCTGCTTGCGCAGAGGCGCAGCGCGATGTCATGCTCGATGCGACCCGACTGACAAGTGTAAAACAGCCAAACATGTGTCACGCCATCACGATCCCAGTGCGCGAACAGAGAAGAGCTCACGGCATGGCGGTCAGTCTAGGCACAGAAGAGGCTGGACATGTGCGACTCCAGCATTGCCAAGCACACAATACCGTCCGAGAGCTCCACGCATAGGGGCCGGCGGGCGCGCGCCCTCAGAGAGCGACGGGCGAGTCCATGCGGAGGAGGGCCATGCGGCGGGCGCGCCCCGCCAGGGGGGCCGACGCCTCTGCGTGGTCGTCGTCTCCCAGCAAGGCTCCGGCGGCGCGCCCCGTGCGCGAGAGGTCCTTGACGCAGACGCCCAGGTGCTTGACCCCCTGCTGCGTGCGCCCGCGGGAGACCTTCAGCGGGAGACCTTCAGCTGCGCGTTCACGAAGTGCGCCCGCTGAGGGGGCTTGCAGTCGACGTCTTGGGCGCGGTAGTGGAAGCCGCCGGTCTGCTTCGCATCCGCCCGCGCGCCTGATGTTCAGCTCTTGGAAATACATGTCTGCGCATTGTCCACCCTCGCGCTGCGCGCCAGCGCCCACGCGGAGCAGCGCGTCCTCAGAGCTCTCGCGCGGAACTTGGATCAACAGGTGCTTACCAGGCTTCATAAGGTCGAACCTCTCACCATGCACATTCTGCAAATGCGGATCGCCCGTGGCGAACGGGCTTGAAAATGGCCCGCCGGGCGCACCGCGCCCGATCCGCGCGCCCGAGCCAGCGTGAGCCACGACGGCGCGGAGGTAATTCTCAGCGAGGGCGTCGTAACACGACGCGAGCGCGGCGAAAGATCCTGAAGCCACCGTGGTGCCAGCCGCGTTGGTCCACGTGGTCCCCTGAAAGGGGCGCGCCCGAGCAAACGCTCGCACCGTAGCCCGAATGGATGCGAAGCCCGCCCGGCGCGTCGCTCGAGAGCCCCGTCAGAGTGTAGGAGACGGAGAGGAGCCCCATACTCACGGTGACCGCCACGGCCCCGGACACTCCACTCGCCATGCCTGGGCACGGGCCCATGGCGGCGGTCAGGGACTTGCCGGCCCCCGCGCATCCACAGCCAATTCGTGCACCCGAGGCAGCGTGCAGCACCACGGCGTGGTCCGCATTTGCAGCAATGGTGTCATAGCCGCTTGCGCCAACCGTGAAAAAGCCCTTTGCAGCAGTGCTGCCAGCCGCCTTTGACCACGTGGTGGACCACGGATCGGCGAAGCCCGTCGCGAAGTAGCGGCCACCTGGGAGGGGCGCGTCGGAGCGCACAACAGTGCCCGACCCAGAATGGATGCGCAGCCCACCCGAGGTTTCAATTGCCGCGAGTCCATCCAAGTTAGCCCAATCCAAGGAGCCCAGAACCCATGACTGTTGCGGACACGACGCCAGAGATACCGCTGGAACGAACGAGCGAACGAAGCTGCCGACGCCGGGAACCCGGCGACCCCACAAGGGCGGCAGGCGCGCCAAACGCGCTGGCGTCCGGGGGGGCCGGGCAGCTGATCAGGTGCGAGACAATTTGACGCAGCCAAACGCTGCGGCGAAGAAGCCAAACGCTCCCCGCAAGATGCTACAGATAGATTAGATCGATGACGACGACAGATAAACGGATTAACGCCACATGCTTTGAACGTGCTCATCATCAAAATCTTGCCAAGTCTCAGATATTGTCTTTTGCAACAGAAGCAATGCCATCTTCCCATCGCACACGCCGCCCTGGTCGACATCGAACAGGGCAGGCTGCCGTTCCCTTCGATTGATGCGACCACCAATCTGAATTTCTCCACTCGGTTGTCTTTCTGGCCCACCTGTCGGGCGCCATGTTTGCCATTACTTCTTAAGCAATTTGCTGAAGAAGCAATGGCCAACATTGGCGTCATCTCCAGCCCACCGCCATTTCCTTCGTAAGAATGTTTCTGTCCAGCACTCTGCGCCTGTTTTTTCGGGCCCTCTCTTCAGCCGCCCGCGTTGCCCTTCTGATCCACGATGCGCAATCCTCTTCAGGGCGTTTTCCGGGCCCCACCATGCGTCGCAACATCGACCTTTGGACGCTCCGGAGCTATCTTTTTGGGGCAGCTGTCAACTTCCAGGACTCGCAGCACCATGATGCAGTTGTCGTCGCCGTTAAATTGAACAACTTCAAACGCTTCGCCATCGAAGCGCCCTTTTGTGTAAGTAGCGTTGATAAGCTTGACGCACGCATTGCACACTGCATTTGTCAGCGTTTAGATTCAATCCAACTTCCGCCAGTTCCGCCGGGATGTCTCCCATCATTTGTGCCTGGGCTCGTCTGGATTCTGCCAGTATCGTAGCGTCGCCGGCGAACGTCACGTACGTCAGCCGGCGCTTGCCCAACAAATTCTTCCGACATTGCACCCATATGACTTTGTTTTCCATTTTCCTTTTAAGTTTGCCATTGCGTTCCGGACGGCGTTCGCGAAGAACGCCGGCGACATTGGATCGCCCTGTCGAGCGCCGCGCAGAATGTCGAAATACCTGCAGCGAGTTGCTGGGTCCAACTGTACAAATGCTTGCTGCTGCGCATGCGTGTTTTGGATCGCGCCCAACTTCCCCTCGCTCACCCCCGCCGCCCGCAAACCAGTAAGGACAGCTGAATGCATGATTCAGTCAAACGCTTTCTCTGAGTCTACAGATGCTGCCCGCGCGCGCCCCCCCCCCCCCATCCCTTTCCTTCCTCGTTATCCACGCGCAAGCAATGGGCTAAATCACAACAGCCGTATCTTTTCCGAAAGCCCATCTCCCCGGGAATTTTCGCGCTGCCCAGAACAAGTTCCATCCTTCTGAGCAGTGCGCTACTGTATAATTTACCCAATGCTGGAATAATGGCGATTGGTCTGCAGTTTCTCTGTATAGTAGCATCCGTTTTTGTTTTAATATGTATATACATAACTATTAGATATATATATATAATATATATATATATTATATATATTTTTTTTTTTTAAAAAAAAAAAAAAAAAAAAAAAAAATATTTGGAAATATCCCACGACTCTGGGGCCCGCGTTCCCCCATTGAGTAAGTCGGCAAATGCATCCGAGATGGCATCAAGCACGTCGCGCCCGCCATCTTTGAGCATCTCTGCCACTATCCCGTCGTCGGCGCACGCTTCGTGGCGTTTCAGCATCTACGTCGCTCCTCAAATCTTGCGCCGCGGTTTTCCCCTGTTCCCTCTGCGTCTCACCAAATGCCTCACGAGGAGCAGAATACAATCGTTGAACAAAAGTCGCGAATATTTCAGCTATACCATTCCGGTCTGACTTTGCGTTGCCCCATCGCCCTTGATGCTGGCGACGCGTCTGTTCTTCCTGAAATGCTTTTGGACATGCGGCAGTTTGCTGGCAGTTCCTTTCTCGATCAGCTCGCCCAAGTGCTTTCTATGTTTTTCTCTTGCTCTTTGCCAGAGGGCGCGACGCAACCTAATGGGATTGGTCCGTTTCTTCTTTGGTGGTGGCCTGATGTCTTTCCTTCCTCAGCTGTTGAATCCGCTCGTCTCCCAACGGTTCCATTCCCGCTGCTTTATCTGTTTTGCCGCATTTTGCCGCTGCCTTCAATATCGCACCTGTCACTTCTGTCGCATCCCTGGGGCACTGGGCGAATGCAAGACGTTGAGCATCATGATATTTGTCTTTGCCCGCGCGTAAAGCCCATTCTTTTCCTGCAGCTGGCTCTGCCCATGTTTCATCTTTTTTCCGAATCGCGCCAAACTTCGCCCATGCTGCCCTGTGGTCTGTGCGGCGCATGAGGTCGGACACAATATCGGTCTTGCGTAATTCTGAATGTAAGGACATATCCACTAACACGTAGTCTATCTGCCTGCATTCTCCTGTGCTCCACAATATGTGTGTCCATTTGTTTCCCACTGGCTTCTTGAAATACGCATTGGTGATTGCGAACTTGTTTCGATTGGCCCATGCCAAAAATTGGTCGCCCCTGTCAGACCGCACTCCCAAGCCATACCTGCCGATGCATTTTGGATTGTCGTCGTCGCCTGGCTGGCCCACCTCTGCGTTCGCATCAATTCTCATCACAATGCGCCTCCCGCTACGGCGTGCCGGAATCATTGAACGTAACATGTCCAAAGCTGCTTCGCATTCCACGTCCGAGCGACCAGCGTGAGGCATGTCCGAGAGATACCGCTGGAAGTACCTGGACAAGGGCCCATCGCCGCAGCGAGCTCGCTCAGCACAGTCGAGTAACTTCCAAGGTGAACGCAACCAATGCGTGAGCCAGAGGCCGCGAGTAGCACCACGGCATGGAGATAGTTCTCCGCGAGGGTGTCGTAGCCAGATGCACCGACGATGAAATTTCCCGAGGCACTAGTGGAGCCGGAAGTTTTTGACCACGTGGTAAACCACGGATCGGCGAAGCCTGTCGCGAAGTAGTGGCCACCTGGCGCTGGAACACACATCAACGCCTGACCCAGAATGGATGTGCAACCCGCCCGAAGTTTCACTCGCGGCGAGCCCATCCAATGTGTAAGACACCTCGAACACACCCGTATACACCGAGACTGTGAACACCCCACTCACACCGCTCGAGGTTCCTGGATACGCACCGGTACTTGATGATAGAGACCCGTAGTACTGAAGAAATCCACAACCCGCTCGGGCACCTCCGGCACCGTGCACCACAACCGCATGAAGATCGTTGTCGGCAAGAGTGTCATATCCACTTGCACCCACCATGAAAGACCCGACGGCTGTAGTATCGCCAGATCTTTTTGCCCATATGGTGAACCACGGGTCGGTAAAGCCCGTCGCGAAGTAGTGGCCTCCTGGGAGGGACGAATCGGAACACACATCAGTTCCAAAACCAGCATGAATGTGCACGCAAGCCACCTGATGTCAAGCTCGCGCCCAGACCTGTCAAAGTGTAAGCGACTTTGAGAAGGCCACCGTCCACGGTGACCGACACAAAACCAGAAACACCACTTGAGGCTCCTGGGTAAGATCCCATGCTCGCTGAGAGTGCGGAGCCTGCGTTGGCCTTGCGCGTGGTTTTTTGCTGGGCCACAGAAGCGCTGCTGTCATTATGCCCTCCACAATTATGCAGGCTGAACCCACTGCAGTGGACGAGCAACACCAATAATGCCACTGTTGCAATCAACACCTGCGCCATGTACATCTGTTCAATTAGCTCGCGTATAGAAATCAGGGTCGGTGTGCGTTTTTTGAGTGGTACGTTGTCAAACAATGACTCTAGAGCCAAAACGGCTACGGACTCTTGGGCCGTCTTGGGGCCCTGTTGACCGTATGGTGGGTGTCTGGGGACCATTGTGTTGTCGTCTTGGCGCCGTCTTGAGCCGTCGAACGGCATTATTCGTCCGTCTTGGGTCCCACGGCAAGCCGTCTTGGGGCCGTCTTTGTTGCCTCTTGGGCCATCGTGGAGTCCTTCTGGGCCGCCTTGAGCTGACGGCAGCCCGAAATGGTGAGAATGCGAACATCATTCAAACACCCAAATCGGAAATCAGTGATTGTGGCTTCTTCGGACCCTGGTGGAGGTCCTCTTGTGGCCTTCTGGGCCCTCGTGCAAGCATATTGGGCCGTCTTGAAGGAAGATTCGGCCGCATTGGGGCCATCTTGGGCCGTCTTCGAGGCATCTTGGGCCATCTTGGTGGCTTTGGTTGCCTGCACGGGCCGTCTTGGAAGCTTTGGGCGCATATCGTTTTTCACAATGGATCGTAGCTTGGGAGGCCCTGAAGCGCGTGAGAGCAGATCCTGGGAATGCGGGAAGTGCACAAACCTCGAGCGGGTGTGCGTGGAATGAGGGCTCCAGGAGGTAGCAGCCATGCGGGAAGGGCGCGATACTCGAGCGGGCACCCGTGGAAGGGGGATTCAGGCATCAGCTGCCATGCGGGAAGTGCACCATCCTCGAGCGGGCACCCGTGGAAGGGGGGTTCAGGCATTAGCTGCCATGCGAGAAGTGCACCATCCTCGAGCGGACAAGCATGGAAGGGGAGTTCTGGCATTCGCTGCAATGCCGGAAGCGCACCGTCCTCGAGCGGGCACGAGGAGTGTGGCCTCGGTGAGCAGGGGGGATATGCACGCGACAGTCCGCGGGTAGGGGGGTGTCTCCCTTATCAGAACTCAAAACACCCTACCATCAGGTCGGGCATGTCCCCCTACAGGGGAATTTTGGACAACAAATTAAACATAGTAAAAACAAACTAATGTTTAAACATGCTGAACAAAATACTAAATAGCAAAAACATGCTAAAAGCATCGTCCCCATACTATTTTTACTATTTTTGAGCATTCCCCCCTGTAAAGGGACAGGTCCGGCTTAAGCCTACCAGTCAGACATTGGCAGTCTTCCACGCCTCAACGTGCACAAGGCACGGTGGCGGATGTAAGACCTCTGCTCGGCCAGAAGACCCCCCCGGTGCAAATCCATAACATGTATATTTTCCCAAACGGAACGCGCGCCCTTCTTGCTGGAAAGGCTCCGGACCCACGGAGCCCCCCGGACCCCCCCGGACCACCCCAGAAACTCTCGCTGGACCCCAGAATCCCAAGCAGTAAACCAAGCAATGAGGGAAGGGCGCGGCGGTTGGGGGTGCTAGCGTTGTGCGCACGCCTTTTCCTCAAATGGGCTACGGACGCAGCGGGGATCAAAACGTGAAGATCTTTCCAGAGATACCCCGAGACCTGCACATGCGCCTCAAGCTTCCGTCAGGAACACTATCCCATTGACGGCAAAGGCGGCGACGATGATGACGCCCGAGGCGACAACGACGGCGACGGCAACGGCGGCAACGTCAGCGACAGCGACGCTGGCGCCAGCGACGGCGTCAACGACGACGTCGGCGGCGACGACGACGACGACGACGGCGACGGCGACGCCGACGGCGGAAACGGCGACGGCACCAGCAAACGCGACGGCGAGGGCGGCGACGGCGACGACCACAGCGGCGACGGCGACCGCGGGGGCGGCCGCGGGACGCACGCTTCAGCAACCCGCCGGCTTGACCTGGCCGCCTGGGCCCGCCTTCCCGACCCGCCTGCTGGGTTCTGCCCGCCCGATCTGCCCGTCTGGTTCTACCACGTGTTTTCTGCTCCTAGTCCCCCCTCCTGCTAAATTCTCTCGTGCTCCATCCTTCTCCCTCCCCCTTCCATCCGTCCTCTCTTCCCCTGTTCAAATGGGCTGCGCTGAATGCACGTGGCCCCAAAGGGGCACGATCGAAGACGAAGAAGGCGGGTACCGAGGGTTTGGATATACGTGTTGAACGGCACGCGAGCCAATAGGAGCGAAGAATAGATAACTGATTGTTGCTGTTGTTGCTGGTGGTGGTGTTGATGTTGTTGTTTTTGTTGTTGTTTTTGTTGTTGTTGTTGGTGTTGTTGTTGGTGGTGGTGGTGGTGGTGATGTTGTTGCTGGTGCTGTTGCTGTTGCTGTTGTTGCTGCAACTGCCGCTGTTGTCGTTGTCGTTGTCGTTGTTGCTGCTGTTGTTCCCTACCTAGGCTCTGCCTAGAAGGGTTCTTACTGTCTTAGCTTAACGGGGCCGGGCAGTGGAACACGCCCCGGGCGGTTCCCCCGGCATCCGCCCCGCGGTTCCCCCAGTTGCGTCCCCTTAGCTTAGCGTTGCTTATCTCATCTTAGCTTAGCTTAGCTTCATCTTAGCTTAGCTTAGCTTCATCCCAGCTCAGGTTTATCTTAGCTTAGCTTACCTTCATCTTAGCTTCGCCGAGCTTTAACATAGCAGAGTACTGCGTAGCATAGCAGAGCGTAGCATAGCATAGCGCAGCACAGCATATCATAGCATAGCCCAGCATAGCATAGCATAGCGCAGCATATCATAGCATAGCATAGCGCAGCACAGCACAGCACAGCATAGCACAGCGCAGCATAGCATAGCATAGCATAGCAGAGCAGAGCATAGCAGAGCGTAGTATAGCATAGCACAGCATAGCATAACATAGTTTATCATAGCATAGCATAGCATAGCATAGCATATCATAGCGCAACATAGTATATCATAGCATAGCATAGCGCAGCATAGCATGGCATAACATAACATAGCATAGCATAGCAACTAATGCTGCTTTCCTATGGGCTCCAACTTCTAGGTAGGGTCGCACTGGGGTGATTGTTGATCATATTATTGTTGTTTGTTGTGTATTGTCGTCCCACCCGCGACCCAGCCCGCGACACACCTGCGACCCACCCCACGACCTGGCCCGAGACACGCGAAGTCGTTTAGTAAGCGCGTCCAACGAAGGAATCAGACAGGGCAGGGCTGTCTAGTGAACGCCCAAGGCCGTTTAGTAAACGCCAATTGTCGGGTACGGGTGGTTTGTCCTCCCTTGATCGTGGGGGCGAGGCACGGCTTGCAGGCATGGCTGACTGTTCTGAGGCTCAGCCCATCCCGATGACCACGCTCGGCGACTTGCACAACGGATGTAGTGTGGCGGCAAGGTCCAGAGCACCAAACACATGCTCGTCACGACAGGCCGAGCACTGGGCCTGCTCCAACTGGAAAAGGGGCCAGCCGCGAAGTATCTCTGCGCGCATCGGTACGACCCCAGCCTAAAGTTTACACCAAGGAAGCGCCACCCCTCTGCGGCAGGTTCGCGCCGTGACGACCTCGGCGTTGGTTCCTGACACAGCGTGGATCGTCAATCTTGAACAGTCGGCGGCTTTTCGATCGTCAACCTTGAACGCCTGCGGCGGGGTCGCCGCCGCCTCGATAGCTACGACATGCACCTACCCTACCCTTGTGACGTGGAGGTGCGCAGGCTGCGCTAACCAGTCTTCCCACCGACGCGCCGACGGGTGTCAGATCCGAATTCGGGCAAGGAAGGGCGCGCCATGCGGTCTTCCACGGAGTCGGCGTCGGAGTCGGGATGAGCCTGGTGGATGTGGCGGGCAGGCGGTCGATAGAGGTGTTGGGGGAGAGGGAGGATGCGCAAGACGGAGGGTTTTGTCAGGAAGGAGATGGGGGTGACCTCCACGAGCGGTCGAGCAGCCCGCATCATCGCCAGAGAGGCGAGGGAACAGCGACGATGGGGCACATGAGGTGGGCCACGTACAACCGTGGAAAAGCAACTTCTACGCCCAGAACAGGGGCGACTCGGCCTGCTGGCGTGCCAGCCGAGGTCACACCAAGGCTGACCGCGCAGCCGGCCTCATGCTGCCTCGCTGTGCAAGACGGGAGGGGATGCGGCGGGTAAAGGGTGGGGACGCGAGGACGAGTGAAGGGAGCAGTGGGAAGAGCGGGATGGCGACGAAGAACGAGGTTGAGGATGAAGACCTCGCGCCCCGCTCACGTCCTCCTGATACAGCGAACAGCCAGGAGCTTCTGCGTGCGCTGCCCGGTCATCGAGGAGGAGACGGATGAGGAGCATGATCGAGGACGAGGGGCGAGGCGAAGGTGGAGAAGGAAGAGGATGATCGGTGGAGGGGGTGAGGAGGATCAACAACAACAACAGCAAGAGACTCTTCCTGCGACGACAAAAAATGCGAAACATCGCGACGCGCAATCTTTCGAGACCTCGCCACCATTCCCCATATTCGCGCACCACCCGTGGTGGGATTCACAATCACGCTTGTCCTCCGTCACCCCTCTCGTTTCGGCCATGCACGGCCAGCAGCAGCGCGGGTTGCAACGGCCCCAAAAGCATACCTCCTGGATACATTCGATACATACGGTACAGTGGAGGCCAGTCCACAAGAAACCTTCCACAAGAAACCCAACCCTGAGACCCCAGGACGCCCACTGATTCTTGGCGCGGGAACGTCACGCTCTCCATGGCAAAAGCATCGAAACCCAAGAAACCCAGGGCACCCTGGAGGCAAGCAGGGTGTTTCTTGGCATGGGTCTCCCACTGTGTGCGCAGCCCACCCGAGGGGGGGGCAGGGGCGGGGACGTACTGAAATGCGAAGAGGCGCCATGAAACCTGGGGAGATGTCATGGCCCCCGCCATGAGATCCCCCCCCCCTGGTCCTCTCCCTCCCCCCCCCTCCTGGCCGCCCCCCGGGCAGGGAGCCCGTGGGACTGCAGCCCAGGCCGCGAGCACCGGCGCGGCACCGCGCGGCGCGGGAGGAGCGACGGGCGTCCCGAGCCGAGCGGGCGGCACGCCGAGCGCCCGAGGCCCGCGCGGCCCCCGAGGGCGCCGAGCAGCCCAGGTGCAGTCGCCGGTCGGCCAGCAGCTGTGGAGGTTGCGCCTCTGGGCTCGGCGGGGGGGGTGAGGGTGAGAAGGAAAAGGCCTTCTCGGAGGGCGGCGGGACTCCTCCTCAGAAGCCCTCGCGCCTTCTGAAAGGTTTTTGTTTTTCTGCGTCTTCGGCTTAGAAAAAACTTCTCAGGAGGCCGGGGGACTTCCGAACCTTCTGAGAGGGCCTTCTCCTTCTCACTTCCCCCCTCGCTCGCCGCCGATTCTAGGTGGCATCCCAGACGCCGCCAGAAACAGTAGCAGCACCTGTAATTCGGTGGTCGGGCAAAAGGGGCCCTGCTTGATGATGAAGCCCGCTCCAGCGAGAAGGCGGGCTCGCCCGAGATGAGGCCGAATGTACAACATAAACAGGCAAATGGTCGTAACGCTGGACTTCTCCTGAAAATGAATGATACCAGGGAGGCGGCAAGAATGCATCCTTCTTCTCATGCTCCATGCCTTCGTGGGTGACGCCGCCGCTGCCGACTCTGTACCGCCAGGTGCAGCTCCAGCAAGGGCAGTCTACTGCCAACACAGATCGCACACCGCATGCGTGGTAGAGCTAGCAACAATATCAATCGGAACCGGCGGAGTGGACAACAACGTCCTGGCACTGACACTGAGCAAGATGACCAGCGGGGCTCTGGCAGGAGGGATCGAACGACGACGGGAACGACGACGAGGAGGCGCGCAAAACCGGGGCCCCCTTCCAACACCCGCTGCCCGCCTTGGACGACAGCCCATGCTCCGTGCCGTACGTGACGCCAGCACCTTCTTGAAGCGGAGGGGTGTTGGGTGCAGTTGGGTCGTCGACGTCATTGTAATTTAAAGGGAGGCTGCGCATCATGGCCGGAAGCATGTGCGCGAAACGGCGGGGGGATCAGGGGGCGTCTTGAAGAAGAAAGGGCCCCCAACCGTGACATCCGTCCTGCCCCCAACCGTGACATCCGCTCTTGAACGCCAACCGATCGAGGAGACACCGTGGCGGCGGAAGTCCAAGCCCGCGCGCCACTCCCCTGCCACATGTAGCCCCGGGCGTGACCAGGGGTGCCCCCTCGTGCGCCTCCTGGGCAAGTCCGGCAGGTGGCATCTGATGGCGCTGAAGAAAGTGCCCACCTGCACTCGTTTTCTTTGTCCCCCCAATCCTCCACCACTTACCCTGCCCTCCTCCTCGCTCCCTCCAGATTCCTCCTCGTTCGCTCCTTCCTCTTCCCCCCTCGTCTTGCTCCTCCTCATCCCGCATCCCCTCCCTCCTGCCGCTGCTGCCGCTGGTGCATCTCCTACTGCCTCCTTCTTCTGCCCCTCCTCCCTCCTTCTTGCCTTCCTAATTATGGCAAAGTCACATACTACATGCGTGCCGCCTCGTCAAACGACAAAACACCCGAACGCCTTCTTGCCTCAAACTCCCCTTGGCGATCGTGCGGGGCGGCAGGAGCAAAAGCGCGAGGGCGAACGGGGGAGAAAGAGGGGGGAGGGGCAGGGCGAAAAACTCATCCTCTCCCCTCCCGGGGGGTCCCTTTTCCTGTCTGGCAAATCCCTCCTCCGGCGAGTTCTTCCGATGGTGAGAGACAACATGGATGATATAGTTTGGATACCGAAGGCGCGTCTGCTGCTGAAGGCGCTTGCAAAACATAACGATTGCGCATGCAACTATACACACATGACAATGCATAATGATATCCGCCGGCCCCCTGGTGGGGCCACCAGGCTGTAGGGCGAGGGTTTGCTGTTCCCTGCGCCAGTTCCAGTTTCCAGTTTCCACTGATACAATATTGCTTTATGCTGCTTACCGATCCTTGTTGATGGACCGCGCGAGGCTCGCCGCCGCCTTTTTTCTGACGTCCAAATGCTCCAGCATGGCTGTGGCGCCGGCGGCTCGCGAGAGTATTGTCCGTCAAACGTTCGGGCTTTCGTTGAGATCACCTTCGAGAGCTTTCATCAACCTGTCTGCTCGGCGGGACTCTGCGACATCTACATATTGGGCCCCGCGGGTCACCTTTCGACGCCATTGTTTTAAATCCAAACAGCCCATCCATGCCTCTGGGTCTGCGTAATCGCCTTTGTCGGCCTTCCACGAGGTCGCGTGCCAGCTCCGACCTTGGTTCCCGTCGCTTTTTGCTCCAGGAAAACCACACATTAGAATCGTTATCGCTCCACGTTTTCCCCTTCTCTCTCCAAGCTTCGCCGTTCCAAGAATAGTCCTCGTCGCACCACGCATCTTCCATGGATCTGACTCTGGATTGACGTGCCACTCGTCTTCTTTCTTGTAGCTTTCCTGTTCCTGGGAACTACTCCGTTGTCCCTGCCTCTCTCGCCAGCTTCCCCGCCAGCGCTCCCATTTCGGTTCCCAAGGCCCGCTTGATCGCTAGCCCTCATCATGGGTAGCGGGAGCTGCGGCCTGCGGACCGGCACCTAAGCATCTCGCAGCTCCTCACGTACAAATTCACGAATCAGACTGATGATTTCCGACAGGCGACCATCCAAACCTACATTGCAGAAGCCCCGATCACTCGGGTGTGTCCGTGGCGGGGTCGACTGTCCGTTGCGTTTCTCATCGGCGCCTTTCTCGGCACAGTCCTGCTCCTCGTTGCCATCGGCGGCAGCCTGAGGATCATGCGGGGGCGCAGCGGCATGAGCAGTTGAACTCCCCTGACCAAGGCATGGCCGAGGAGCTCCGCTACCAGTGTCCGACGAAGCCCTTCTCAGGCGAGCTCTTCCGATGGTGGGAGACAGGACGGGTTATTCATTTTGAATGCCGAAGGCGCGTCAGCTGCTAAAGGCGCATGTAAGCCACCATGATTGTTGATGCAACCATACACACATTTCGTTTCAACACTGCACGTACAAATATGTGACAACGTACTTGAAATTCAAGGAAACACGCGCTCCCCTCCCCCCCGTCCCCTCCTGCCCTCCCTCCCCTCCCCGCGCCGCCGCCCCTGTTCCCCAGACAGCCGTTCCGACTCCTCCTTCCGCGCTCCACGCCCTCGGCGCCCCCGTACCTCCTCCTCCGCATCCTCCTCCGCCTCATTCTTCTCCTCCTCCTCCGCCTCCTGGTTCCTGGTTCCTGTCGGCTAGAATGTTCGGTGGGCGTCCGCCTCCTCCTCCTCCTCCTCCTCCTCCTCCACCCCTTCCTCCTTCTCCTCCTCCTGCTCCCCTTCCTCCTCCTCCTCCTCCTCCTCCTCCTCCTCCTCCTCCTCCTCCTCCTCCTCCTCCTCCTCCTCTTCCTCCTCCTCCTCCTCCTCCTCCTCCTCCTCCTCCTCCTCCTCGTCCCCCCCTCCTCCTCAGGGGAACGAGCAGGAGGAGGTGGTGGTGGGGCACTGGGGAGTTCGGAGGGAGGAAGAGGAAAAATGAGCAAGGAGGGACCCAGGCTCCCGACACCGCTGTTGCCGTCGCAACGGGGGCCTGAGAGGTCTCGATCTCTTTCTCAGTGGCTCGAGCTAGAACATGTGATTCGTTTTCGTGTTGTTTTCTTTTTCGCTCGTTATGTGTTCGTTCTGCCTCTACTGCGAAACGAAATCAAAACGAAAACGGTCCACGAAATCCGCCGACCCCTTGTGGGTCTCTAGGCGTGTGAGATAGTTCCCCCCCAATAGTCCCCCCCCATGGGACCCCAAACCGACGATTCGACCCCCCCCCCCCGGGCCCCCGCCGAGCGACTCACGGGCCTCTTTTGGGCCCAAATGGGGCTCAAGACGGGCCAAGAAGGTCCCAAGACGTCTCCAAGACGGCCCAAGAGGCCTCCAAGAGCAGTCCTCAGAAGAGCCGAAGAGCCGAAAATCGTCAACTTCCCATGGGAAAACGTACATTTTCATCATGTACGACTTGTCGGCCTTTACGGCGTGGAAGACGGTCCAAGAGCACACCAACCCCGCCCCAAGACGGCCCAAGAGGCCCCCAAGGGGCGCCCAAGTCGGCCCAAGAGGGCGCCAAGCCGGCCCAAGAGGCCCCCAAGACGGCCTCAAAAGGAGCCCGAGAGGTGGAGCTTGAACCGACAATCCGAGCCTTCCGCCCCAAGACGGCCCAACCGAGCGCTCCAAGACGCCCAAGATGGCCCCAAGACGAGCCAAGAGGCCTCCAAGACGGCCCAAGAGGCCTCCAAGAACATTCCTCAGACGGGCCGAAGAGCCGAAAATCGTCAACTTCCTATGGGAAAACGTACATTTTCATCATGTACGACTTGTCGGCCTTTACGGCGTGGAAGACGGTCCAAGAGCACCCCAAGACCGCCCCAAGACGGCCCAAGAGGCCCCCAAGAAGCGCTAAAGTCGGCCCAAGAGGGCGCCAAGACGGCCCAAGAGGCCCCCAAGACGGCCCAAGAGGGCCCCAAGACGGCCTCCAAAGGAGCCCGAGAGGGGGAGCTTGAACCGACAATCCGAGCCTTCCGCCCCAAGACGGCCCAACCGAGCGCTCCAAGACGCCCAAGATGGTCCCAAGACGAGCCAAGAGGCCTCCAAGACGGCCCAAGAGGCCTCCAAGAACATTCCTCAGAAGGGCCGAAGAGCCGAAAATCGTCAACTTCCTACGGGAAAACGTACATTTTCATCATGTACGACTTGTCGGCCTTTACGGCGTGGAAGACGGTCCAAGAGCACCCCAAGACCGCCCCAAGACGGCCCAAGAGGCCCCCAAGAGGCGCCCAAGTCGGCCCAAGAGGGCGCCAAGACGGCCCAAGAGGCCCCCAAGACGGCCCAAGAGGGCCCCAAGACGGCCCCAAGAGGGGCCCAAGAGGGGGAGCTTGAACCGACAATCCGAGCCTTCCGCCCCAAGACGGCCCCAAGAGGCCCCCAAGACGCCCCTAAGAAGCCCCAAAAGGCCCCCAAGAGGGCGCCAAACGGCCCCAAAACGGCCCCCAAAAGGCTTCCAAACTGCCTCCAAGAGTCCCGCGAGGAGCCCCCCAAGAGATCCCCGCGATCACCTCCTCCTCCTCCTCCTTCTCCTCCTTCTCCTCTTCCTCCTCCTCACGACCACACGCTGCACGCAACATTGCAGGAGAATGGTGCCGACACTGCATGCGACCCCAGAGAAACCCCAACGCTTTTCGAACAAAGGGGTCGGCGGATGTGGCGTACGCCTATAGAATCGCCAGGACACAATTTAGCTCGAGCCCTGCTCCCTGGGACAACCTTTCATCCCGAACTGCTTTTCGACGGTCCCAGGGCCCAGCTGGGCTCCCGTGAGAAAACGAAGACAGCTTGTTGAATCACGACGTGATAGGATCTGGGGGAGGAACGAGGAGGAGGCAGGGAGGAAGGAGGTCCCCCTCCTGGACCTCTCGTGCCCCTCTGGCGCCTGCTGTCAGCAGGCTGGCGTCGGCAGAGGAGCAGCCAAGCTGAAAGCACCCGGCACCTCAGCTGGGGGCCGGTCGGCGGGCTGGTACCGTAATGTTCATGGCCCCAAGCTGTCCCCAGTTATCCGCGCCATTTTGAAACCCTCGGGGCCCCCCTGGGCCTCGTGAGGGGCGCTTTGAAGGCCACCTGGGTCTCTCTGGATATCCTGGCGACACCTACGGCTGCACCAGAAGGACACCTAACTATGGCCGCGCCAGAAGGACGGCCGAAGCAGCGAGCCGTGGCGCGAAGGTCCGTGCAAGAGGGGTGGGGATCCGCGGCTCCAGAGAGCCAGGTGATCAAATATTGGGGCGTCGAGGGTCAGGGCCCCATCATCATCATCATCATCATCATCATCATCATCATCATCATCATCATCATCATCATCATCATCAGCATCATCATCATCATCATCATCAGCATCAGCATCATCAGCAGCATCAGCAGCATCATCATCATCATCATCAGCATGATCATCATCATCATCACCATCAGCATCATCATTATCATCATCATCATCAGCATCACCATCATCAGCATCAGCATCATCATCATCGTCATCATCATCAGCAGCAGCATCACCTCCATCATCATGATCATGACGATCATCACCATCATCATCATCACCATCAGCATCATCATCAACACCACCGCCATCATCGTCATCACGAACATCAGCATGCTCATTATCATCATCATCATCAGCAGCAACATCATCATCATCATCAGCATCATCATCATCAGGATCTCCATCATCATCATCATCATCAGCATCATCAGCATCCACATCATCATCACGATCTTCATCATCCTCAGCATCATCATCCCCATCCCCGTCATCATCCTCATCCACATCCTCATCCTCCTCCTCCTCCTCATCATCATCATCCTCATCCACATCCTCATGCTTACCGTCATCCTCATGCTCATACTCATACTCCATTCATGTCTCATGGGCCCCCGAACTCAATAGTGGCGCTCTCGCTCGAGACTTCTTCGCAATCAGTGGGCACCATCCATGTGCATGACGGTGCCCATGGATGGTCTGGCATGGGCCTCGACGTCTTCGGTGCGCTGAAGCCGATCCCACGCCCCCTGGAAGAGCAATGCGTCTTTCGCAAGTCGTATCGAAGAATCGTCTGTTGGAGGCCTGGAGATGGGCACCAACACCAACACAGGAGACTGCCTCCACAGGGGTCAGATGATCCTAGATGTTGGTGTTGGTGGTAATAGAGCCCGAGGGCACACCGCCGATCTTGGTGTTGGTGTCAACCTCTGGGCCTCCGATCTCGTAGGTCACATCGAAGAATCGCCTGGGAGACCCAGGTTTGTCGTGGTCCGTTTCTCACGGCTGCCGGGCCCGAACACGGCCCCCAGAGGCCACAAGCCGAGGCAAGCCGAAGGCGACGAGAACAGACGGGCCGACGACTGCACAGGCACTGCTCCTGCAAGGCAGTGCAGGAGCGCCCGGGCCAGGATCGGCGGAGTCGCGGCCGCCCCGCGCCAAGCCCGCAACCTCGTTCGGCCGCGTGCGCCATGCCCTGGCGGTCGGCGTGGACGGGCGGCAGCGCCGTGCAACCGCGGCCGCTCCCTGCGGGCCCGGGGACGGGGGAGGGGCGGGAGTGCTGGCGGGCCCCAGCGCCGGCGTTGGCGCCGGCGACGGCGGGGAAGCAGCGACGGTTACCACCACTACCACCACCGCCACCACTGCCACCACCACCACCGCCTCAACCCACCACCACCACCACCACCAACCCAACACACAACCACCACCACCACAGCCACCACCACCACCACCACCTCAACCACCACTACAACCCACCATCACCACCAAAATCACCACTACAAAAAACCCACCACCACTGCCACCACCACCACCACAATCTGCCACACCACCACCACCACCGCCACAACCGACACCACTACTAGCGGAACAACCCACCGCCACCACCACAAACCACCACACCACCACCACCACCGCCACCACCAGCACCATGTCCACAAACCACCGCCACCACCACAACCCACCACCACCACCATCACCAACCACCACCACACCACCACCACACCACCACAACCACCGCCACCACAACTCACCATCACCACCACCACCACAAAAACCCACCACCACTACCACAACCACCACAATCTACCACACCACCACCACCGCCACAACCACCACCACAACTAGAAGCACAACCCACCGCCACCACCAGAAACCACCACGCCACCACAACCACCACAACCATCGCCACCACCACCACCACCAGCACCACGTCCACAAAAACCACCGCCACCGCCACAAACCACCACCACCACCGAAAACCACCACCACACCACCACCAAACCACCACCACCACCACAACCCACCACCACCACCACAAACCACCACCACACCACCACCACACCACCACCACCACCACCACCAATCACCACAACCACCACCGCCACCACAACCTCCACCACACCACCACCACCACCACAACCTCCACCACCGCCACCACCACCGCCACAATTCACCACCACCACCACCACCACCACCACCGTCGTCCTCGTCGACGCTCCTCGCCGCCGCCGCCGCTCGCCGCCGCAGGCGCCGGCGCCGGCCCAGAAAAGGAAATCATCGTCCCCGCTGCCGCCGCCAGCCGCCGCCGACGCAAGCGCCGGCCCGAGGAGAGGGGAAGCAGGGGAGGAAGGGAAGGGGGGGGGGTCGAACCCCCCCCTCAATCCAGGGGGGGGGCTGGGGCGGGTCCGGTTTCACCCCCCCCCTCCAAGCGACACAGATTGCGCTCTTTCGCATGTCCCCGTACAGGGGGTTTTTTAGCGGAAAAACAGAAATACAAAACAAAATAGAAAAACAGAAACATGGGGGGGAGACAAGAAAAACGTCCCAGACTATTTTTGACTATTTTTGAATATTCCTCCTGTAGAGGGACGTGCCCGACCTAACCCCAGGCTGAGGATGAGCGCAGGCAACCGCTCGGCACGACCAGCAGGGGCACGGAGAGAAAGGTGACGAAGACCGACAGCAGCTTCTCCGGACGCTGTCCATTTGAGAAGAAGAGTTCGCGCGCCCAACAGTGGCCGTGGTCGGTTTGGGACATCATTTGCAGTTGCTGTAGGAAAGGGTTGGCGGGCCCAGGTTGACGAACAAAGAGCAACTCCTGGGAGGATTAAGCCCAATCAAGCAGCCATTCAATTGGAGTAGCCTGGAGAAAACCCCAGATTAAGCACGAGTAAGCCGTGTTAAATGGAATCAAGCAGAATGAAAAAGGTCTATGGCGGATAAGGCCAGTTTCCGACCACGGATCTACCAGCGCCGATTCTGAATTTGACCTCCCAGGAGGTGCGTCCGAAAGATGAACGTGGGCAATCACGAGTGAAACCTGTCCTTGCAGCTAAGATCTCTGCAACACCTTGGGTTCAAAATTCGAAGGATCTCTACAGCCAAGAGTGGACCCCGCGGAGGTGTACGACACCATGGCATCGATTAGACCTGTGGGCAGGGTTCGCAAGTGGTCGTAGAGTGGGCACAGTGTTTCGGGTCAGAGGGCGAGAACCGCAGACAGGTATGCAACAAAACTGCTGAAGCACACCTCGCAGCACGCGCGACGAGTGGTTCGCAGTGTGCCGCAGCCGCCCAAAAGGCCGGGGAAGGGGAAGGGGAAGGGAACCGCAGGGGGGGCGGCGGGAAGAGGGGGACCCAGACTGCCGACGCTCGACCACTCGCACAAAAGGAAACATGGCCTCTGGCACGAACTCTTCGAGCCGCCCGGGGCCTGGGCAGGGCGGCAGGACGGGAAGGCAGGACGCCTGGGGGGAGGGGAGGGAGGATGGCTGGACGGGGCGCGGGGCGGTCGTGCAGGGGGCGAGGCAGGCGAGAGATCGGGTGCTCCTCCTCCTCCTCCTCCGCCTCCTCCGCCTCCTCCTCCTCCTCCTCCACAATTACTCAATATGAATACTACTCTCCCTCATCCCCTGATGACGGTTTGAAAGTGTTCGACCCCCCCCCCGCGTACTGTTTTTTTACACACGGGTTTCCCCGGAGTTGGGATTTCGCCTGCATTGTTGTTCCAAAATGCTGCTCTCGCTGAAACGCCATCCTCATTTTCGGGCCCCGCTCGTTCCGAATCGTGCTCCCGCTGTAGCGCTGGCCTCATTTCCGTGCTTCCGCTCGTTCCGAATCGTGCTCCCGCTGCAGCGCTGGCCTCATTTCCGCGCTTCCGCTCGTTTCGACTCGTGCTCCCGCTGCGGCGCTGGCGTCATTTTCCGTGCCATGCCACGGCATGCAATGCAATGCCAGGTTGATACTACGCTTTGCGGTGCTCTTCTGCGCCATGCCATGCCGTGCTCTACAATGCATCGTGACCCTTTCGGGATCATTGCCCTGCTCGACATCCGACTGAGCGAGTAGAGAGGGGATCTGCGCCATGGTAAGGGATGGGAGGGAGGGGTAGGATGTCAGATATGACGCGAGCGCACCTAGCTTGTCCTCCTCCTCCTCCTCCTCCTCCTCCTCCCCCTCCTCCCTCCTCCCTCCTCCCTCCTCCCTCTCCTCCTCCTTCTCCTCCTCCTCCTCCTCCTCCTCCTCCTCCTCCTCCTCCTCCTCCTCCTCCTGTTCTTCCTCCTAGCCGTTTCGGCACGAGCTCTTTCAGGGGCCCGTGCTTGTGTTCACGTACTTCGAAGCGGCTCGTGAACACGGGCCACTTCACAAGCGCACGGCGCCTCCCGCTGCAGGGTCCAGCAGTGGCGGATGGTGCCAAACCCGCCCGATGTCTTGCCTGGAGCCAAGACTCCCCTGTGGAGTTGCAGCTGCGGGTGCCCGGACAATTGGGCGTCCAGGGTCATATGCAGAGGCTGCGGCAAGGATGCCCCAGTGCGAGTCGTCCAGGCAGCTCGTAAGGCATCAGCGGCACTCAAGTCAGGATCGGTTCGCGGGCCTCGTGGTGCCTGGGCTCAAGGGCCGCCGCCGATCGGACCCAGCAACAAGGAGCAGATGCGCCTCATCCAGGAGCTCAGGGCAGAGGTCGCACAGTTGGCGGGAAAGCAGCCCCCAGCTCGGCCGCCATGGCAGTCCAGCTCCCCTTCGCCGCAGCGGGGCACGACGGGCGAAGCGTCCGCCAAGCTCTCGTTCGCTGATGTGCTGCAGTTCCTCAAGGATGAGGGCGTTGACACGGCGAAGGTCGAAGAAGCAGAACAGGCAAAGAAGCAGGCTACGGCAGTCAAGCAGCCCACGTCCAGGGCCGCGCACTGGAAGGTCGAGAACCTCCGCACCAAGCTCTCCAAGGCGGAGGTGCGTGCGGCGGCGTTGCGCAAGCAACAGGAGGATCTTCAGGCCGAGATCGCTGAGCTGGACAAGAGCGTCGACAAGCTCAAAGAGGACCTCGGACAGGCTGAGCAGGCGCTCTTCCGCGTCCAAGCAGATGGAGATCCACTCAGAGCAGTCACGGCCACCCTGGACGAGACCGTCGCCCAGTCTGATGAAGGAAAAGCTGCATTGGCCACCCTCCAGCGCCTGCAGGCCGAGGCTCAGGCCAAGAGGGCAGTGGCCAGCGGGCCTGATGCTGCAAGTGCTCCTCCTGGTACAGCTACAGGCGGGGCGGGCAGCGGCGAGCACATTGCAGCCACAGAAGGCGACGGCGACGACATCGACATGGACTTGTTGGATGGAGAAGACTTCGATGAGCGCAGGGCAGCTTTTGACAAGGCCGCCCAGCAGCTCAAGGAGGCCAAAGGAGGAAGTCAGGAGCAGCTCGACGCCGCCAAGCGCAAGTACCTCGAGGCTGCGGAGGCCATTGGGGTCAAGCGGGCTCGGTCGTGCTCCTGAGCTGGACGCTGGAGTGGAAGGCCCTCCTCCAGTCAGTGGTGCGAAGGAGCAGTCCAGCTTGAATGCCTTCCTGAGGTGCAACATCCTGGACCACGACTGGGAGCAGGCCACGGGCTTCGCTGTGCCAGTCATGCGCGACGACCTGCTGTTCGACTCGATGCAGTTTCGCCAGCGTGACGGAACTTTGATGGAGTTGGACGAGAAGGATTGGCCCGTGCTCGGTTCCGCTTTGGCGAGGAGTACGTCGGCGTATCGCTTGGGCAAGGGAGGGAGGGATTCAGCCCCTCGAAGTCACACTCCCTTGCCCGCATCGTCGATGGCTACCAGTTCGAGCACGGCGACTTCGGCATCCTCGATGATCCCCCAACTGGCCCGCTCCTCGGGGTTGGGGGCAAGTGCAGCGCAGGAACATACTCCCCAACTGGCCCGCTCCTCGGGGTTGGGGACAAGTGCAGCGCAGAGGCTACCGCCCCAACTGGCCCGCTCCTCGGGGTTGGGGGCTTCTCCTAGCTGGGAGGCCAGACCTTCTTCGTGGATGGCATGCGCGTCGACGCAGACGGCTACGGCGGCGACGGCTGGTTCTTCGCGTGGCGTTAGGACGCAACAGTCGTCGCCGCCTGCCCTTCCCTCCCCCAGGGCACCCCTTCCACAGGAGGCGGGGGTCTCAGCGCGTGGGGAGGGGGGGCGGGATGTTTTGCTGGCGCAGCATCC